CCGTCCTCCCTGTCACGGTGTTGAGTGTGGATGCGTGTCTGTGGCCATTTCTGTGTCCACGTGTCCACAGACCCGACCTCCCTGTCGCGGTGTTGAGTGTGGATGCGTGTCTATGAGCATTTCTGTGGCCATGTGCTTTCACAAGACCCATGCATCCCGGAACGGGAGACGACCTCCCTTTCACTGGCATTTCCCATAGACAGTCTGTGGGATTGTCCTGGCCCCGTGTCACGTCTGCCTGGAGGACCCTGGAAACTCCTCCCCTGGCAGCAGTTACAGATGCTGTTCTGTACCTGTCACGGCTGCAGCCACCCGGCCGTCCTCCACGCGGGGCTCCGCTGCTCAGCGCAGGCCGCGGCCACCCGGCCGTCCTCCACGCGGGGCTCCGCTGCTCAGCGCAGGCCGCGGCCACCCGGCCGTCCTCCATGCGGGGCTCCGCTGCTCAGAGCAGGCTTCCCACGGCCAGTCCTATCAGGCCGCCTCACACGGAGCCAGTGGCCGTGACCTGGCTCTTCTGGTCTTGGTCTTGGCCTTGGCCGGCCAAGGGAGCCAGGCCAGGGTCCTCACCCACCGCTGGTCTCTGCTCTCCTCCAAGAACGTGCATCTTCCAGTGGACAGAGGTTCGGGCAGGAGAACTACAGCTGCTTCTGGGGTGATGTCCGCCTCGTCTTGTGGGTGGGAGCCGGCTGCAGGCTGCAGTCCTGAAACGGCAGACATCTGCGTGGGACACAGGTGCGTGGCATGCCGGCCGGCTGCAGGCTGCATTCCTGAAACGGCAGACATCTGCGTGGGACACAGGTGTGTGACATGCCGGCTGGGTGTGGTGCAGCTGGGCAGGTGTCATGTGCACTGTTGTTATCATGTTCGTGGAGAAACGGCTCCTTCTTTCTTGCAGCAAATGACGATCTGTCCTTGTTTTCAGAGGCGCCGAGTGCCCCTCTCGTTTTTGGTATTTTCATGGAAGTTGGTAGAGGCTGTGTCAGGGCTGTGAGCCAGATAATACTTTAAACTGGAAGCCTTCTCTCTTCTCTAACCCATTAACCGTATCTCTTCGGGATGCGTCCTGCTCACTTTATTCTGGGAGAGAGAGGTGCTAATTGCGGTAAAGGGACAGCGGACCCCTCCGGAGGGAAAAGGAATCCCTGAGGTTGTTCGAGTGAATTTGTTATTTTGAGATGGAAGACAGTTTTAATATTTGCCCCCCAAAATTTAAAAGTAATTCCCGGAAAGCATTTTATTGAAAAGACGACTCTGCACTAAAGGGGAAAGGTTTTAAAACTATGACTTACTTCATCTTTGATGAAAACTATTGTTTGTTGGGTTTAAAATAAATTAAAACTATTTCTAAGCACCACCGTATTCTGGGATGGTTTTGTGGGTGTGTGCGTTGTGTTCTGAGAAGCTTTGATTATTTGCAACCATGAGCCATATATAATAGAAATAGTTTTAGTGTGTATTTTAATACCCTCCCATTAACCAGAAGCATCAGATAAAGACAGTGATTGATTTTTCCAGCAAAGCTTTGCTTATTTAGCAGTGGCAGTTTCATTGCTAAACAGGTATTCAGGTGGCACATAAATCAAATTGGCGAGACTTGATTTATGGCCACTGTTCTCTCAGGTATGAGTTGGGGTTAATGTGCAGGCATCTGAAGCACTGATGCACAAATAATGAAAGAAAAGAAAATGTTTCTTGAGGGAAAATGAGGCCAGGAGTTTTGGAATATAGAGGGAGGTGCCCAGGGCTGGGAATCGCAAGCCCTGGGCTCTAATGGATGCTTGTTACCATGGAACACGTTACTCTGTGTCACACTCTGTATCATACTGGGGGGTGTGTAGATTTTGCTACCATGTTAAAAGCTGTGGTGTAGCAAACCCTGGGTGGGTGTTCCCTGACTGTGCGGCAAGTTACTATGGAACAAGTTATTAGGTAGCAAACCACAGGTTATCCGGGACGTGTCATAATGTCTGGAAATGAGATGGCTGGTCTGCGTCAGTCTTGGCGGATAGACTTTCTCTATGTCACGTCCTGCGACTGTGTTTTTCCTTAGGAATGCGTGGAGGAAGACTCCGAGGGGCCCCTGCCGTGATGGCTGTGACACCCACCAGGGCATGGGTGTGAGTGCTGATGGCCCCTGACCCTCCACTTTAATTACCTTCCACCCAGGAGCTGGAGATACCAATATGCCGAGCCCTGCATTCAGAATGAAAAAGCTACAGTTCCTGAAGTTTACATAACTAGTTAGGGTATTCGCTAAGAAAGAAGCAGGGGGTGACATTTAAATGTATCCTTTTAAAGGCATGGCATAGAATTCCTTGGGAATCAGGATTGCATGTTACTGGTTTAGAGACGCCTTGGATCTTGGTGTATAGAGGACAGTCAGTGGGAGCATTTTAATTTGAACTGAATTGAACCTGTGCTTGTATCAGATGTCAGGGGTCTGTTCCTGGAGAAAAAACGTAGGAGAAAAGCGTAGCCAATTAAGGGAAAATGTCTCAGACACTGGCTTTTAAAATAATTAAACAATCAAAGACTGCCAAAGGTCTAAAGTTTATTAGATGCACACTCAAGTAATTTAGCGGCTGTGTGGCAGGCAGAAATGGCCTGTGAGTGATTTCAGGGTCACCCCAAACAGAAATTATCTTCTGAAGAGAGGGATCTAGTTTAATGTTCTTAGGTTAAGTCATGATGCTGTTAATGTGTTGCGTTCCGTAGCTATTGAGGGATGTCGCCTGACAGCATCCATTGCGTATTGATGGCTGCAGATAGGAGACTATAATCATGAGAATGTGCACATTTGGAGGGAGTTTCATGAAAAGGTGTTTCTGGTTTTCGGCTTATCATCCTTTTTAGGGTCTCCTCACGGGACCAACACCAGCCGCGTCCCTCACAGCCACTGCTGATTATGTCTTAAAGGAGGTGACGTTAATTCAGTCAATCCCAGAGATGCTGGCCCTTCTTGGTGATGTGGGTAGAAGACAGTGAGGCCATCTCTGTCCTTGGGCTCATGTTTTTGGAGGCGGGAGGGCAGTGCCGACAGCGGGTCAGCAGGTGTTGGGACCAGATCCTCGTGGAGCCCTGGGCTTGGACGTTGGGTGGGGTGGATGGGGAGGGACGATGTTGTGGGGTCACGTTGTGTGGCAACTGTTATGGCAGGACTGTGAGCCCGGTGAAGTTTAGTGCTGGCCTTGCCGGGGTGCAGGACGTGAATTTATAGAGGCACATTTCAGAAACTTTGGGAAGCTGGCACTACATGCTTATCTAAATTATTCTTTTTTTATTTTTATTTTCTTTTGAGATGGAGTTTTGCTCTTGTGGCCCAGGCTGGAGTGCAATGGTGCAATCTCTGTTCACTGCAACCTCCACCTCCTGGATTCAAGCAAATTTCCTGCCTCAGCCTCCTGAGTAGCTGGGATTACAGGCATGCACCACCACGCCTGGCTATTTTTTTTGTATTTTTAGTAGAGATGGGGTTTCTCCATGTTGGTCAGGCTGGTCTCAAACTCCCAATCTCAGATGGTCCACCTGCCTTGGCCTCCCAAAGCGCTGGGGTTGCAGGCATGAGCCCCCGTGCCTGGCCAATCCGGGTTATTCTTATTAAATCCAGACATTGTAAAGGCCTGCTTGCTATTGATGTATTGATAATTATGTTGATAATGGTGAAAGTGTAGGCGCGTGTGGGTGGTGGCCACTTGGAGTGCTTTGGGTATGTTTGCTTTTAAAGAAGAGATCTTATTTTGTCACTCCAGCTGGCGTGCAGTGGCCTTCTGGGCTCAAGCGATCCTCCCATCTCAATCTCCAGAGTAGCTAGGACTACAGGTGCACACCACCTTGCTCAGCTTTTTATTCATTTATTTATTTATTTATTTATTTTTTGTAGAGGTGGAGTCTCCCTATGTTGTCGAGGCTGGTCTTGAATTCTAGGGCTTAAGAGATCCCAGCTCAGCCTGTTTCATATACATATATGAAGTGTGAATGGTTGTCTCTGGGCTGAGGTTACCTCATGGAAGGATGCTGTTCTGTGTGGATGCTGGACAGGGCTGGCTTTGTGGTGGTCCAGGAATCCATGACTTGGGGGACAGCCTGGTGGATGGGTGTGGAGAGAGTGTGTTAGCACAGCTTGGATGTCTGCATGGTGGATGGAGTGACCCTGTGGGCTTTGCAGGTACATTAGGGCCCTCCAGAGAAGTGGAAGCCGTCGGAAGTGTGGGTGTGTTTGTTTACACATGCGTAGACCCCATGCTTGCATATGTAAATCACACGATGTACGTCTGTGTGTATAGAAGGAGATTTGTTATAAGGAATTGGCTCCTGTGGTTACGAGGCTGACAAGTCTAAGATCTGCTCAGCCAGCTGAAGGCCCAGGAAGATCCGATGTGTCCATTCTAGCATGAAGGCAGAAAAAACCATGTTGTTCCAGTTCAAAGGCAGGCAGGGGCGTTGCATAATGACATTTATTTTAATTAATTAATTCAGGGTTTTCCTGCCCTACTGAATGGGGTTGAGCTCACGGGAGGAGCGGATGTGTCACGGAGAATGAACACATCACACTTCCATTACTCAGGGAGTAACTCGCTTGGGCTCCGGGCCGCTCGCGGGCACACAGCAGGTCTTCGCCGTGCTGTTAATTTTCCGTGTTCTGATGCTTTCGTGTCTGGGTCTCACTGACTTGGGAGGGGTGGCTCTTCCTGGGCTGGCCGGTTCCTGGGGACAGTAAGAGGCTTGGCTGCGCTCGTGGCTTTACAGGAAGCCGACTTCCAGAGCCCACGCCTGCCACTCCCTCCATGGGCTCTCATGCTCCTGACCACTGACAGCCCAGAGCCCCGGGAGCATTCGGCCTGGCCAGGCCTAAGCCTGCTGGTCCTGCTTTCCCGTTCTTCCTTCCCAGATCCCAGTGAGGGCTCCCCATGTTGGCCGCCCCCTCCCACACGTCCTGGCCCTCCCAGTGCACCTGTGTGGCCCTGCCCCATGGCAGGCCCTGCCTCCGAGTCCGGGGTCTGTGTGTTTCCATTTCTCCATCCATGATGGTTATTTCTGTCTCTGTGTCTCACTGCACCTGAGTAAACAGATCCCAGGATCCCTGAACACAAGCAGAATCTGTGCCTGTTGTTCTCCTGGCTCCTGGAGGGCACGGTGGGCTCTGCTCCTGCTGGGAGGAGAGCGTCAGGTGGCACCGGGTGGCACAGAGAGCTGCTCTCTGGAGCCGCCTGGGCAGCCGTGGCCAGGGCATGAGCTGAAGGGGGTGTGCAGCCGTGGGTGGCTGCAGAGGGACTGGCAGCAGCTGAGCCACGTGGAACTAAACTGAGTGAGCCGGGAGGAAGGATGAGGGTGCTGGCACGCAGAGCCGGCCGCACCCACAGGAGCCGTCACACAGCAGAGCTGCCCTCCTCCAGCAAGGACGGCTGCGGTTGTGTAATAATCCCGGTGGGACTCACAGCGCTGTGTGGCAGGAGCGGAGCGGGCCTCATAGGAGTTCCAGGTGTTCCCTGAGCTGGATTAAATGCCTCTGCGCTGTGGGGGTGGGGACAGCGTGGGGGGAAGCCGGGAAGAGCCGGGGCCAGAGGACCCCCCACCGAGAAAGAGAAAGAGCTCAGAGCCGGGGGCTGGAGGCCTGGAGGAGCCGATGTGGGAGAGGCCCTCGTGGGAGGGCCCCAGTGGCCGGGATGGTAAAAGACTTCGGAGCAAACTGATCGATTGTAATTACATGAAGGTGAAGCTGGTGATGATGTGTCAGATGGGGAGCGTTCAGGAAAACTCCTACAAAGGTAGGAACGCCGTTTATAGAATGTGATCCGTGGCGGGGGATTGCTGTTGATGGAGGACAGTGATGAGCCTTTGGGGATTTTCTTGAAGCTTCTGTGGTGACTGTTTTCTTACTTGAACGTGTTGATTCAATGATTAAAAGTTACCGTGATTGTAGCCCTTTGTGGGGGTGTGTTTAAAACGTTCTGGTCCCCAAGGCTCTTGGGTCTACCCGAGCATACGCGGCACACACCAAAGGTCTCAGGGTGGAACTGGGCACGTCAGGAGTGTGCTTTGAGCAAGTGGCCGATTTTGAAGTCCTTCAAATTCAGAGTCCTCCGTGTGTCCCTCACCGAGAGACACTTAACGCCTCCGAGCCTCGGTTTCCTCATAGATTGGACGTAATCATGACAATTCTGTTCTGAACAGAACTGTGAGGCCCACCGGTGTGGGGATGTTGCTGGCTGTGGTACAAACGTGTCAGGCCAGACACGCCAGGGAGGGACGGAGGTCTCGGGACGTGGGGAGCAGGAAGAAGGTTTGGAGTGTGGGGTTTGGAGTTGGGAATTATTGCTCTTGGTAGTTCCTGGAGATTATAGTTAGAAATCTCTCAAGAAATATATAATGAGAAAAATAGGACAGAGTTCAGAGAGCTAAACTGCAAAAAACAACAACAACAACAACAAAAAAAACCCCACAAAGGACCAGCACACAGATGCACAAGGTCCCTTGAAGGGGCAGAGCAGTGCCAGGCCCATCAGACACCATGGGACACACTTGAATTCCGTTGCACAGCAGAAGAAAGCACGTATGTGCAGTAGAAGGGACACCGACCAGCCATGGGGTCCCAGGAGAATGGGACCAGAGTGCCCTGCCCAGAGCTGAGGGTCTCATGGTCCCGTGACTGGGGAGGGCGCCAGCCTGAAGCCACCTCCTAGGAGAATTTCTGGTCATGTCATAGACATGGAATTACTGAGGCTGAGTACATATTTAGTAGGCGTCATGGACACAGATGTATGAGATTTTCCTGGACATGATTCACCGAGGTCCAGTTTGTGTTTAGTAGGTGTCCTGGACATGGATTTACGGAGGTCCAGTTTGTGTTTAGTAGGTGTCCTGGACACGGTTTACTGAGGTTGAATTTGTGTTCACTGGGCGTCCCGGACACGGATTTATGGAGGTCGAGTTTGTGTTCAGTAGGTGTCCTGGATGTGGATTACTGTGTCCTCAGTGTATCTCGGGCTTCATGGAAGTGGAATGAAGAACAGGTCCCGAGCTTGGTGCTCAGGTGCCTGTTTGATTCTTGTGGTGACAACACAGGTGATATTGGCGGGGACTGCATACTTGACACCTTGCAAAGGCATCTGCGAAGGGTGGGATGCACTCAGAAAATGGCATAAGATTTTTTATTTAGAGGAATTAAAAAAAATAAAGCACAGGAGAAGAACTTGGTGATAAGACTGGACAGGTCCTCCTCTGGCTTTTCCCTCGCACCCAGGGTCAGGTGCAGGATGTCCACACATGGCAGGAAATAGGTGGGAATCGCTGCCCTCAATGCAGGAAGAACCAGAAGATTCACAGAGCCTTCGAGTTAGAAGGGACTCGAGGATTCTCTGTTGCGAAGCCTGATTTCACAGAGGAGGAAACAGGAGTGCTGAGGCTGTAAGTGGGTTGTCTGGGCTCACATCAGGGTAGAGGCAGGGAGGGCCAGACGGCTTTTCAGACAGTTTTGGCTGCAATCCACTCCTCAAGGTTTGTCTGGAAAGACGAAGACCCCCCGCCATTCCCCCCTAAACATCCCACACCCGCCCCCCTCCATTCCCCCCTAAACATCCCACACCCCCCGCCATTCCCCCCCAAACATCCCACACCCGCCCCCCTCCATCCCCCCCCCACCCCCCCCCCCCCACCCCCCCCCCCCTCCATTCCCCCCTAAACATCCCACACCCCCCCCTCCATTCCCCCTAAACATCCCACACCCGCCCCCCTCCATTCCCCCCAAACATCCCACACCCCCCCCCTCCATTCCCCCTAAACATCCCACACCCGCCCCCCTCCATTCCCCCCTAAACATCCACACCCGCCCCCCTCCATTCCCCCCAAACATCCCACACCCGCCCCCCTCCATTCCCCCCTAAACATCCCACACCCGCCCCCCTCCATTCCCCCAACATCCCACCCCCCCCCCCCCCCCCCCCCCCCCCCCCCCCCCCTTCCCCCCTAAACATCCCACACCCGCCCCCCCCCATTCCCCCCTAAACATCCCACACCGCCCCCCTCCATTCCCCCCTAAACATCCCACACCCCCCCCCTTCCCCCTAACTCCCACCCCCCCCCCCCCCTAACATCCCCCCCCCCCCCCCCCCCCCCCACCCGCCCCCTCCATTCCCCCCTAAACATCCCACACCCGCCCCCTCCATTCCCCCCTAAACATCCCACACCCGCCCCCCTCCATTCCCCCTAAACATCCCACACCCTACACCCGCCCCCTCCATTCCCCCTAAACATCCCACACCCGCCCCCCTCCATTCCCCCCTAAACATCCCACACCCGCCCCCCTCCATTCCCCCCTAAACATCCCACACCCGCCCCCTCCATTCCCCCTAAACATCCCACCCCCGCCCCCCTCCATTCCCCCCTAAACATCCCACACCCGCCCCCCTCCATTCCCCCCTAAACATCCCACACCCGCCCCCCTCCATTCCCCCCTAAACATCCCACACCCGCCCCCCTCCATTCCCCCCTAAACATCCCACACCCGCCCCCCTCCATTCCCCCCTAAACATCCCACACCCGCCCCCTCCATTCCCCCCTAAACATCCCACACCCGCCCCCCTCCATTCCCCCCTAAACATCCCACACCCGCCCCCTCCATTCCCCCTAAACATCCCACACCCCCCCCTCCATTCCCCCCTAAACATCCCACACCCGCCCCCCTCCATTCCCCCCTAAACATCCCACACCCGCCCCCCTCCATTCCCCCCTAAACATCCCACACCCGCCCCCTCCATTCCCCCTAAACATCCCACACCCGCCCCCCTCCATTCCCCCCTAAACATCCCACACCCGCCCCCCTCCATTCCCCCCTAAACATCCCACACCCGCCCCCCCTCCATTCCCCCAAACATCCCACACCCGCCCCCTCCATTCCCCCCTAAACATCCCACACCCGCCCCCCTCCATTCCCCCCTAAACATCCCACACCCGCCCCCCTCCATTCCCCCCTAAACATCCCACACCCGCCCCCCTCCATTCCCCCCTAAACATCCCACACCCGCCCCCCTCCATTCCCCCTAAACATCCCACACCCGCCCCCCTCCATTCCCCCCTAAACATCCCACACCCGCCCCTCCATTCCCCCCTAAACATCCCACACCCCCCCCATCCCCCTCCCCACCCCCCCTTCCCCCCTAAACATCCCACACCCGCCCCCTCCATTCCCCCTAAACATCCCACACCCGCCCCCCTCCATTCCCCCCTAAACATCCCACACCCGCCCCCCTCCATTCCCCCCTAAACATCCCACACCCGCCCCCCTCCATTCCCCCTAAACATCCCACACCCGCCCCCTCCATTCCCCCTAAACATCCCACACCCGCCCCCTCCATTCCCCCTAAACATCCCACACCCGCCCCCTCCATTCCCCCTAAACATCCCACACCCGCCCCCTCCATTCCCCCCTAAACATCCCACACCCGCCCCCCTCCATTCCCCCCTAAACATCCCACACCCGCCCCCCTCCATTCCCCCCTAAACATCCCCCCCCCCCCCCCCCCCCATCCCACACCCGCCCCCTCCATTCCCCCCTAAACATCCCACACCCGCCCCCTCCATTCCCCCCTAAACATCCCACACCCGCCCCCTCCATTCCCCCTAAACATCCCACACCCGCCCCCCTCCATTCCCCCCTAAACATCCCACACCCGCCCCCCTCCATTCCCCCTAAACATCCCACACCCGCCCCCCCATTCCCCTAAACATCCCACACCCGCCCCCCTCCATTCCCCCTAAACATCCCACACCCGCCCCCCCCATTCCCCCCTAACATCCCACACCCCCCGCCATTCTCCCTCTAAACATCCCACACCCGCCCCCTCCATTCCCCCCTAAACATCCCACACCCGCCCCCCTCCATTCCCCCTCTAAACATCCCACACCGCAAAACTCAAGCAGCGTTGGCCTGGCTTTGATTGGGAGTACCCGGCCACAATGAGGGCTACAGTCTAATTATACTTAGAGGAAATATTGATCTTGGTTTCCATGATTTATACTACAGGTCATTTCCACTTTAATTTGAGTTACCAAGAATGGACACATTAGTGCAGGATGAAATTGAAATGTACTGGGCACTATAGAAATTACTTTGGTCTCTGTGGCTTTGTTTTTCACCTCAGAAATGTGTGTTTTTTTCTTCCTGCCATTGCAGTTCTAATTTTGTGTGTTGTGTCTCTGGGAGGAGTGAGGTGGTGCACCTGCTCATCCTGATTCATGATTTTCTTGTGCCTCTCAGTCTGAGACAGCCCACACCGATGTGTTTGCATCGGGTTGAAAGCCAAGAATTCTGACTCAGACCTGGCGACCCTGGCCTCTCCTTTCTGCAGGCCTTAGAAAGTGAGTGTCTCACCGTAGAACCCAGGGCTTCACAGCCCGTTGCCTTCCCGGAGGAAGCAAAGGCGAGACACGGAATTCAGTTTGTTCTCCTTTTGGTTGATCACATGGGCTCGGAGTCAGTGCACGATCCACCTACTCTGCCGGCCACCAGGGTTTAAAGACAAATGCGGTGTTGTCTCTGCTTTGGGGGAAACGATCATGTCCTACGGAGACAGCAACATGAGCGAGGGGTTCCTGTGTGGGGTGCACACCAGGGCCTCCAGGCACATAGAGAGTGATGTGACAGCACTGCACTGGAAGCCAGGGGTGAGAGGATTCTCTGCAGAAAAGGCCCAAGGAGGGGACTTCAATGCTGAGTCGTTTACAATAGATTGCCAGGCAGACAGAGATACTCTAGGTAGTGGAGGAAACCTGCAAAAACTACTTGGAGATGCCGAGAGGGCAGGTGTGTCCTGGGCTTGCTGCCACGTAGGATGTGGGACACAGGCTGTGGGCCAGACACCAGGAGCAGGTGCAGGTGTGCAGGACTGGGAGCCTCGTGGAGTCCCCACACTGCAGAGCCTTCCTCCCACTGTCTTCCAGAGCTGTGGGAGCCACACCAGTGTGCCAGGGCGTGGCGCAGAGGCCGTCCTGTTACCAGTAAAAACCAGGGAACTCAGATTTACACCCCGTTTATTATGTAATGGGAGGGAGACGCCTTGCCCATGGAAATCCCTCTGGAACTATGTTAATTGGGAGGACGTTGTGGGTTGTTCTAGAGATGAGTGGGGATGGAGGCAGGGGAAGGGCAGAGGTTTGGGGGCTCAGATCCATTCTTCTGGGTTTCCTTAAATCCTCAGTGAAGATGACGCGATCACAGAATTGTCTTTGTCAAATGATTTCACGAGGCGGAGGCAGTAAAAGAGAGGATTTTTTTTTTTTTTTTTCCAACTGAATAGAAACGCGTGTGTAGGTAGGAGGTGTGTGTGAGAAAGTTGTCAGCTGAAATCCAGGCATGGAGGCCACTGCCTTGGGCTCCTGGATCTTGGTCCTGCGGCAGGCGGGTCTCTGAGGGCTGAGGAGCTGCGTGGACAGTTGACACAGGCCGGTTGTGTCTCTGAAGAAGTGGTTCCCAGTTATGTCCACACCCTGGCGCCTGGGGGACTCCCACGCTGAGGGAGCAGGGAATGGCAGGGGCGTTTCACGCGAGAGTGAGAACGAGAGCACTCTGCCTCTCCCGCCTCCTGGCTCTGGAAAAAGAATCAGGAACGTGTTCTAGAAAAGGCCGCCTGTGATTCCTTCTTCAATTCCTTGGCTACCCCGGGATCTGGGATTCCTGGCCCTTCTGTTACGAATCCCAGGTATTTCGGCCGTTATTTTTAGGCACTGCCACTTGTCATGATGTTCTTCCTGCAGTGAGAGCCGGGACATTCGGCTCCTGGGAACCTTGGCGGGTTTGTTACTTCCATTTGAATTTCATTTGTTCTCTGGAGTCCTCATCTGAGATTCTGATTAAAGCCCTCCCCGTCGTCCCGGTGGCCACCCCCTGGCTCCCAGCCCTTCTTACTGAGCTGCTGAAACATGGTGGTGGGTGTTGGCAGAGGAAAAAGAGCCCCACTTGGTTTTTCTTTAAAAATCTTTGGAGTCTTATGACATCCTTGCTCTTCATTTTTTGGACTCTCAATTAAACAACATGATGTATGTAAAACCCACAGTTTTGAGTCTTTTGCTGGAATTCGTTTGGCCTCCATCTTCCCAGGAGGATTAACCGAGGGGCTGTTTGGTCCCTGTGGCTGGAAGGAAACGGGTGAATATTTGCCTCACGCAGGTTTTATTTGATAATCTTTCTTTTATTTGAGGGATGTTCTGTTATCAGTGGAAATATTCCCTTCTAGGAAATATTGCAGCACAAACATGTGCTCTAAGACCTCGTGGCATTCCTGTGAGTTTGCTGGGATCTTGGAGGAAGAACAAGTGTCTGATGTTTTTGTCGAGAAACCTTTTCCTTTTCACCTTTTCCCTCTCACCTTTGGCTTCCAGGCACTTTCCTGACCAAAGTCCATAACCACACATGCAGTCCGGCAGCCACACGTGTGCTGAAATAGAAAAGGCGAACAAACGTTCTCTGAAGTTCATAACCTTCGGATTTTCACACACTGAATAATTCCTGGGAGGGGCTCTCATGATCCGGTTCTTTTCTTCTTATGATTTGTAAAGGGAAAAATTCTCAGTGGAGATGGAGAAAGACTGAGAAATGGTTCCAGGTTAAATAAAACTAGAGATGTGACGAGTACAACATGTGGTTTTGTGCGGAGTTTTGTTTTTTCATTTCCTATAAAACACAGGAGTGGAACAACTGCCAAAATGTGAATAAGGTTTGTCAGTGAAATACTAGTATCTCAAGATTTTGATGATCGTACTGTGGTTATTATGAAAATCCCATTGGTTTTAGTAAACACACAATGAATCATTTACTATGCGAAGGGCTATCATGCCTGCAATGTAGTGTCAAGTGGCTCTGAAAAATAATTACATGAGACAGAGAAAGAACAGTAAACGTAAAATGTCAGGGTTTAGGAAATCAGGGTAAAGAGTAGGTAAGAATCCCCTGTACTGCTTTTGCAACTTTTCTATATGTCTGAAATTATTTCAAAATGAAAAATTTAAAAAAATTCTTAAGATGAAAAAATATTGATAACCAACAGTTTGAAAAAGATCAGCCAGCATTTCACATTCTTGATTCAAAATGTAACTTCCCCATTTCCCCCCGATCTTTCTGTAGGTTCTTAGACTGTTTTGGACAAAGATAAAGCATATTGGAAATATATGGTTAGGGTTTTTTCTTCCCTCCTGCAAGGATATGTGGGAAGGAAGTAATATTTTCTGGAGTTCCTATGGACTCGTCTATAAAGGTACCTTCCAAGCCTGTCCCCGTCCGTTCCTGCAGAGCCCTGCACGGTGACAGCTGCTGTCTGTTTCCTTCAGAGAAGGAAGCTTTGGCTTGTGAGGCAGTCGGGTCGTCATGGGAATTCAGGTGTCTCCAGGGTCAGACCCTCTTTGCCATGTCTGCTGCTTCCCTGACCCCGATCATTCTGTGGGTTAGGGAGCCCTCTGTCCTGGAATGGCTGCCGGCCCTGGCTGTGGGCACAGGGGTGAGGGCAGAGCCTGCTGTGCAGACACCTGGCTGTGGGCACGAGGGGAGGGTGAGGGCAGAGCCTGTGTGCAGACACCTGGCTGTGGGCACGAGGGGAGGGTGAGGGCAGAGCCTGTGTGCAGACACCTGGCTGTGGGCACGAGGGGAGGGTGAGGGCAGAGCCTGCTGTGCAGACACCTGGCTGTGGGCACGAGGGGAGGGTGAGGGCAGAGCCTGTGTGCAGACACCTGGCTGTGGGCACGAGGGGAGGGTGAGGGCAGAGCCTGTGTGCAGACACCTGGCTGTGGGCACGAGGGGAGGGTGAGGGCAGAGCCTGCTGTGCAGACACCTGGCTGTGGGCACGAGGGGAGGGTGAGGGCAGAGCCTGTGTGCAGACACCTGGCTGTTCGTTCTCATCCCACTTAGCGGGAACGGCAGCCTGTCGGAGTCAATCTATTTCCAGCTCCATTGAGTGGGACCCGCTTGAAACAGGCCCCCTCTTCGATTCTTGCCTTGGTTTCTGCCCACCGCTACTTGGGGTGGCTCTGAGTCAGCTGCGCATCCCAGGGGGCGGAGAGGAAGCGAGTGCTCTCTCCTGCGAGGGGGGTGGCGTGGCTATTCCCGGCTTGTGGTGGGGAGGGTGGAGGCAGAGCGGGCAGCGGGCGCAGATTCGGAGACTCATCCTGCTTGGCACTCGCTCGTCCTCATGAGCTCCGCGAGGCGGTGGACCCCAGCCCCATGTTGGCTCTGGGGGAGATGGAACATTTGGGGAACCAGAGTACCCACCTTTTCTTCAGTTCAAGGCTGTTCTGTCTGAAGAAGAACAGATCAGACGCACAGGTGTTCCCGGCTTGTAAGAGCAACAGAAGGAAGGAGTGATTTGCTGTCCAAAGATAGAGCTTTCCCCCAGCCCTGCCTCTTTAAAGTCTAAGGAGCCTCCAGCGTTCCCGTCATCTTCTTTCTGTCTCTTCAACGCTTCCAAACCCTCTGAGTGTGATTTGTAAGAACGTGTATTCCTCGGCTTCTGTTGGCACTGGGAAGGGCACAGTACCTCAGCCTGGCAGACCCGCGTGCTGCGAGCTGTGTCAGTGGCCACTACACTCCGCACGCTTGCAGAGGGCCCGCTGCTCTTCCCGCAGGAGACGCTGAGGCGGCCGCCCCTCGAGAGGGTTGGAAACACCTTCTCCGAGCGACTCCACCGTGGGGGCGTCTCTCTTCCTTCCTGGTGTGGGTCTGGGGCTCAGAGACGTGCTCTTCGCCTTGGACCCAAAGCTGTGTGTGGGAGCCCTCGCTGTCCCCTTCGTGTGTCAGCTGCCAGCCACATGCGGTCATGGGCCCAGGACGCCCGGCCGCTGCGTCCACAGGGTGTGTCCGTGTAAAACACTTTACGCGCCGGATTTTGAAGACTTGGTATGAAAACACATGTGAAGTAGCTTATTAACATATTTTACGTTGATTGCATGTGGAAATGATATTTTGCATATGTTGGATTAAATAAAATATATTAAAATTAACCTCACCTGTTTCTTACGGTTTTAATGTAGTTAATAAGACCATAAATTGCACATGTGCTCACACTGTTTTTCTCTTGGATGGTGTGGTTCTGTCGCGTTTGCAGACTGCTCCACCGATTTCCGTGTTTCAGGGCTGGGTGTGCCTCGGTCGTGTTCTGTCATCTGTCATGTCTAAGTGTGCGTCCTTCACACCATCTCTACATCCCACAGCACAGGACCCGTGCATCTTGCTCTAGTTTCAGAGCTTCCCTCGAAGCAGAGTGGTTCCTGTTTGTTGGATACGAGGAGGAATTCCACATAAACCTCTGGGTTGGCTTTTTGTTTTTCAGGAAGTATGAGCGTTTATGTGCTTTTTATGTGGTTATTATTGTCTATCAATTGTTGTTCATACTTGCCTAATGAAAATTGGAGAGCTGCGTAAGAGTGGGGACGTTTAACAATGATTGTTTCTAGGAAACTGGGAACTGTCTAAGAGTCAGAGTAGGAAGTTCATTAAAATGACCGAGGACCCTGCCCAGTGGGACCCGTCTCCAGCCCGCTGGAAATTAGCTAACAGAGCATGTCGTGGGCTGAGCTGCTGGTTCGTTCTGAGTGGAACAGAACACTGTGTACCGTGCGTTGCTGAGTTATGGTCGGTTTATGAAGAGGGTCTCGGAAGAGAATGAGCCTCTGTAGGCGTCTGTGTGGCCCGGTCAGCAGAGCCCGGAAGGCCAGAGCGAGCAGCCTTGACTGCTCCCATCGAGAAAGAGAAAGGGACCCAAGGGGGCCCTATTCAAAGGTGGCCACACATGCTTCTACACTGGAAAAGGCAAAGTGCAGGAACCGACCGACGTGTAAAACTCGGGAAGCACGTGTACTGTTAAATAGGACCTCTGTGCTGTTAAATCGCCTCCCCTGGGAAATGGCGGCCTGTCTTTTAAGAACTTAATGCCTAGGGAGGAGACACCTCTCCATGTGTCTGAGCTGGAGCCTGGTTGCAAGCTGAGTGCAAGGTCTTCTCTTTTTGTGTTGTTTTTTAGTGCTGTTGGGCACTTAGGGTCCAGCGTGGAGGCGGCAGGGAGCTGCTGTTTCAGGGAATGCTTGCGGATTCCTGGGAAATTGGGTGAGAGAGAGCATTTAGTCAACTTTTTCATGACTTTTGAATAAAATAAAGCGCTGACCAGGAGAATGTTTCCAGTGGTGTAGGAGAAGATTCTGGTCCATTGTTTCACCTCCTTGAACCATTTTCACAAAACACACCGCATGACGCCAATGGGTGATCGGTACTGCCCTTTCTAAAGGCGGGGGGGGCTCACATGTGAACTTTCCTCAGGCCTCAGAGCTGGCGGCAGGGCCTGTCCCTGAGTACGGAGGTCTTGGCATGATGGCCTCCTGCGTGAAGACCCCTAAATGGCCCTGCGCAGCTACAGACACGTGGTGCCCTTCAGCCGTGGCACTTTTCTTAAGACCTTCCCCTGAGGACACTCCTCAAGCTTCCCTTACTTGCCTGACAGGCTGCTGCCTATCTTGCTGTTGTTCTGGGAAAATGCTATCCTTTACAAAGGATCTCTGGTGTCTCAGGTGGGGCAGCCATCTACATATAGACCAGGAAGTGCTGGTTAGACTTCCTATCAGGTGGGGCAGCCGTCTACATATAGACCAGGAAGTGCTCGTTAGCCTTCCTATCAGGTGGGGCAGCCATCTACACGTAGACCAGGAAGTGCTGGTTAGACTTCCTATCAGGTGGGGCAGCCATCTACATATAGACCAGGAGGTGCTTGTTAGCCTTCCTATCAGGTGGGGCAGCCATCTACATACAGACCAGGAAGTGCTGGTTAGACTTCCTATCAGGTGGGGCAGCCATCTACATATAGACCAGGAAGTGCTCGTTAGCCTTCCTATCAGGTGGGGCAGCCATCTACATATAGACCAGGAAGTGCTCGTTAGCCTTCCTATCAGGTGGGGCAGCCATCTACATATAGACCAGGAAGTGCCGGGTAGACTTCCTATCAGGTGGGGCAGCCATCTACATACAGACCAGGAAGTGCTGGTTAGACTTCCTATCAGGTGGGGCAGCCATCTACATATAGACCAGGAAGTGCTCATTAGCCTTCCTATCAGGTGGGGCAGCCGTCTACATATAGACCAGGAAGTGCTCATTAGCCTTCCTATCAGGTGGGGCAGCCGTCTACATATAGACCAGGAAGTGCCAGGTAGACTTCCTATCAGGTGGGGCAGCCGTCTACATGTAGACCAGGAAGTGCCGGTTAGACTTCCTATCAGGTGGGGCAGCCATCTACATGTAGACCAGGAAGTGCTGGTTAGACTTCCTATCAGGTGGGGCAGCCATCTACATATAGACCAGGAAGTGCTGGTTAGACTTCCTATCAGGTGGGGCAGCCGTCTACATGTGGACCAGGAAGTGCTGGTTAGACTTCCTATTGTTCTTGCCGTGTGCGCTCAGCACAGGATGCACTTACAGCGGCCCAAGAGGCAGCTGTGAGTCCTCTCCAGTCACTGTCACCATGATGGGCACACTCTTTCTTATGGATTCAAAACATGCCCATATTTCATCATATTGAGATCAAAACAAAAGTGATGTTTTAAGTTTTTCATCATCTCTATTGTTTTAAAATCGGATCTAATTGTCATTTGCTTTCTCCGAAAAAA